ACGCACAATATTTTACAAAGTTTTTTGTCTTTTTTTTTTAAGTTTTCTGACTGTTCTGTACAAAAAAAAAAGAGACCAAAATAAAATAAAAAAAAAAAAAAACCAACCCAACCCTTTCGAATGATGAGCCAGAAAGGGTCCGGATGAGGAATGGTCAGGGTTTGATCCCAGCAGAACAACTACCTCGCGGTTCGCTTTGTTCTCTTAGTTTTTTAAACGTAAAATAGAATATATATATATTTATAGTTATGTATAGGCTTGTTTGTTATTCTCAAATGAGCACCTACCTAGACTAGAGAATTACACAGACTCCCAGTAACACAGAGCCAGCCATCTGTTCAAAACACATTTCCCAGAGACATTTAACCAAACACACACTGAAAAAGCTACAAGCAAAATGACCATTAATTAACCCAGTCATTAATTAATGAATCACCTCCCTTCCCTCCCCCCGCCCCACAGGTCAAACCAGCAAGGTCCGGGCTCCATGTACTGTCTCTGCCCTGAGCTCTAGCTCCACAATCCCATTGGATGGGAATCAGCTGCTGGCTGTTTCTGGGGTGCAGCATGGTCTGTGGTGCTCGGAGAGTCAGGAAGCTGCCTTAGCACCCCTGCTGCACTGCTGACTGGGAGCCAATTGAGGCAAGTCCCTCCTGCCCCAGTCCTGCCCTCCCCAAAGCCAAAGCCCTCTCCTGTACCCCAAAGCTCTCATCCTCACCCCCACCCTGAAGCCCGCACTTTAGTTAAATTATGTTGGGTCACGGACATCAACAGTTTTTTTCAACTGAGTCATGAGAAAAAAAGTGTGAAAACCACTGACCTCCGTAATCAGATTGGCTTGAAAATTAGCAGGCCAAGGCAGATGCTGACGTAGAGTTGGTGGGAAAATCTGAGGTCAGTTAATCAGTGGGTTCCTGAGATACAGCCCCACCGGCCCTCCAAAACTAGACTCTTCAAAGGTCTTTGAACACAAGAGGTGGTGCAAAGATTTTGGTTTTTTCACTGAGAAATATTCTCTGAAAAAATCATAATCAGTGTTCTCCTTTTCCCATTTTTTTGTTTCCATGCATTTTTTAATCATATTTTAATTAGAATCTGTATTGGAAGCACTACTGATATATTATTGACATTTCTCATTTACTGAAAACATGGGGAAACTTCAATAATGGGTTTGAGAAGATCTGTATTTTAAAAAATAATGAAAAATGGTGAAAAAATGAAAGGTGTGTGCGTTTGAAAACCTGCAGGGCAGGAGCACCTTTGACATTTTGTTTTTGTGTTTTGACCAGTTCTATCTTACACCTATTTGGAGAGAGGTATGGAAACATTGGAGAAAGGAGGTATATGAAATACATACCTGGACTGCTCTTGCTGTGCTGTATGGTACCAAAAAGAAGGTCTAACCTTCACCCTTGTTAAAGAAAGATAAACTGTGGGACATTGTTATGCTGGAAGCAGATTTTTCATAGACGTGTTTAAGAGCCCACATTTTTCCTGCAATCTTGCACTGAAATGTCATTATCATCACATGTCACCTGGTCTTATAATCTACAGGCTTTCCTCGCTTTAGGTCTAAGATACGTTAAAAAACCTTGGATTTATAGTGAAACAATTTAAAGCTGGGATTTTTTTTTCACATGGCTGACTTCCATTTGAACAAATTCTCTGATGGCAAGTCTGGTGCAAAATGTGTGTGTGTGTGTGTGTGTGTGTGTTTTGAGGGTGTCCCGTGGGCTAGGATGTGCCGGAGTCTGGCTCGGAACACACAAGAGCATGGTCCCTTGTGCGTACGAGGGGGTGTGTCTGCGCACGAGGATGTGTGCGCACGGTGGGGGCGTGCCGTTGCTGGATGGCAGGAAGCGCTCTGCCCAGCGGGCACAGCACCGTTGTGCCAGGGTGGCCGTGGGGCACGGCGAGGGCGCTGCAGGCTGAAGTCTCCTTTCAGGACACGGCCGGTTTGTGGGAGAGAGCCGGGTGTGGCCCCAGGCTGGGCAGCGTGGTGCCCTGGAGGGACTCGATGCCGCCTGGCCGGCCAGTGCCGACAGGGCCACCCTGTGCCAAACCCAGGGTAGAAACATGTCCGGCACTGACCGGCCCTGCAAGCGGCTCCCACCATGGAGGCCAACGGACCAGGCTATGGGTAATGAAGCTGAAGACCGACTGGTCCACGAGGGCTGAATCGGCAGGTACGAGCGGGCGGGGAGGAAGATCCGCCTGGTGCTGCCCTGCTCTGGGGAGACCCGGGGCCCTGCGGTGCTCGGGGTGCTCCATACCCCGCGGTAGCCTGCAGTAGGGCACGGAGCGGCTCCCACAATGCGGATTCCGGCAACCGAGCCGCCGGGGGAGGCAAACTCAGGCCGTTTCCCGGCTCCAGGCACACACGCGGTGGGAGGGGGGGCAAGGTGGCGCCGGCTGGTTTGTCCTGGGGGATGCAGTCCAGCTGTGGGGTGACACGAAAGGAAACCAGGCGGGGCAGGGCCTCACCACAGACCTTCCACACGTGGGCACGCGCCACGTGGCAGTCACATGATTTGGCACAGCTCGGCAGCCGGGGGCAGGCCGGCGATGGCTGGTCCCACCTGCGCTTACAGGAGCACTGCACGGCACAGACAGGGCAGCGACGCGTCTGGCGGGACAGCCCTGTTCAGGCATTCGGCTGCCAGATCCACATGGGGACTCGACCGCCCCGTTCACAACGCAGCCATCAGGCAGCCCTGCTGCCCAGACAACGCAGGATGAAAAGGGAAGCGAATGTGCCAGAGGCCTCTTTGCAGCTGGCCTCTCTCAATGCATGGCATGGACTCCGCTCTGTGCTCTGCAGCTGCATTTCCCTGTTTCTGTGCATCGCCCTGAGCTGCACAACTCCGCTCCAGCGCATCACCGCACTGGGTTGCACCTCTCTGCTCCACTGCATCACGTTGCACTGTTCCACTCCAATGCACTGCTTTGCACTGAGCTGCATGACGCTGCTCTGCTGTATTGCACTGCTGCACTGCCCTGCTGCGCGCCACTCCACTCCACTCCACTCCACTGCCTGGCATTGCACTGAGTCGTGGTGCTCCATGCTGGTGCATCATGTTGCACTGAGCTGCACCCCTCTGCTCAGAGCTGCCTCACACCCCACGGACCCACCTTGCTTTTCCTACCACTGCATTCCAGTGCCCGGAGGTGCGTCACGTTGCAGAGCTGCAGTCACACTGCGTGGAGCTGCAATCGCATTGCCCTGCCCTGCACCGCGCGGCCCCTCCCGATGTTCCTGCAAGCGCCCGCCCAAAGCAAAGGGGCTATCCGGCTGACGAGATGGGGGGCCGAGTAGACACAAGCGCAGCTGAGCTGGGGCCCAATGGCATGAGTTTACCCCACCCATGCTCTGGGAGCAGCCCTGAGGCCTGCTGCTCTGCCGTCTCCACCAGGGATTCTGATTTCAAAAGATCCAGGTGTGGATCTTCCCATTAGCGTGCCCCTCGCATGCAGGTGTTCTCTCCCCCCCCAACATCTGGGTGCCGCTGGGCTCCGGGCACCAGGACTCGCGCACCCAGGCGTTCTGAGTGGCGGCCGGGGAATGGCGTGTGAATTGCGCCAGCTCATCCCTGTGCTGCTGCTGCACCTGGCGCCTTACCTCTGCCTGCGCCACCCATCACCATTGCTTGCCCTTGTGCGGGATTCCGGACAGCACACGGGCCCTGAGGGGAGCCACCCACGCCCCTCGCCAGGCTCACCCGCGGCCACCGCGCGCGAGGCCTGACTCTCCCTTTGGGGGCCCGTTTCGGGGGGTCAGGTCAGGGATTTTCAGAGGTGCTGAACCTTGCTGGGCCTATTAGCTCATCTTCCTGCCAAGTGTCCAGGGACAGCTGCTACCAGGCCGCGGTTGTCCCTCAGAGATACCCTCACACTAGGGAGCTCTTAGCCCCGGCCAGTCCGCCTGCTGTACCCCCGAGTCAGAATGATGCACGCGAATGGCTTCTGCCAGGCTCGGGTCCTCCCGCCATGTCCCCGCTACAGAGTTAAATACACGATCCTGACCATGACATTCAATTCAAGTTTTTTTGTGTGTGTGTCCTTGTTGCTGACAATAAATACTTGTACTTCTTGAGGCTAAAACCTTGGAAAGTAGCTGTAGAAAGATCTGCTTTAAAATCCTCAGGCTACAACATAATACTCGGAGAGCAGAACAAGATGGATGTAAGTAACGTGAGACTCGGACGGGACGGCATTGGAGCGCACCGAGGGAGTGGGTGGCATGGAGAAGCAAATGCGGATGCCATAAAACTATGACATCAGTTGCTTTTGAAGTTCAAGACGCCCCGGTGATTGGCTGAGACGTTAACGAGACTCGTCTCGATTTGGCAAGAAAACACCATTTTCTTCCTCTTCCGTTTTGTTTTGTGTTTTCATTTGGATGGGCAGGGTGGGCGAGCGGATTAGCTCAAACACAAGAGGAATCCGGCGCTGGTGAAATACTTTAAGACAGCCAAATGGTAAGACAATCGCTCAATGGAAACGACAAAACCTCCCAGAATTCCATGGGTTCCATGAGGGAAACAAAACAGGAAAACAAAAAAACCCAAAACAAACAAACAAACAAACAAAAAAAAGGAAACCGAACCAAAAAACCAGGTCACTGCTCTTCGGATTTGGCCAACAGCTCAGTGGAAGGGAGAGGACGGGGCCGAGGAGTCAAGAGCTCCAGGACGCTCGCTGTCTGAAGAACAGAAGCCTCAAGCTGGCTTGTGCTTCCCCAAGTCTGGCTGGAGCTCAGGGCCTGCCAACGTGCTGCACAGAGACGCTAGGAAGGCAAGGCCAGGTTGGAGAGGGCAGGAGGCAAAGCAAAAGCAGAAAGAAAGGATATTCCAGGCTCCCAAGTGGAGGTCTGCATGAGCCACAGCCAGGGTGGAACCAGAGCAGACGGGATGAGAAGTTGCCCTTTTCCAACACGCCTGGAGGGGATGGAGATGGTTTTAAACAAAAGAAAAATGGATGGGTCGGACCCGATGGATGTTTTAAAGGCAAGATGCCAAGGGCAGAGGCTGGCGGCTGGCAGTCAAGTAGAGTAGCAGCAACTGCAGGGCGAACAAGACGCCGAGGGAGGGTTTGAAGGAGGCCCCTCTGCCGCAGTCTGAGGTATCTTCCTGCGGAGACAAAAGGTGAGATGGGTTTCCACAGGGATCAGGGGCGTCACGCCTGAGTCAGGGCAAAGGCAGGCCCTGCTCTCTGATAGGCCCTGCCCACTATTAGGCTTCTGCCCGCTGATAGGCCATGCCCACTGATAGGCCTCCGCCCGCACTTGCTTCAGGAGTTCCAAACCGGTGGGCGTGTCCTTAGAAAACAAGCCGCCAGCAACCTGGCTTTCCCTCCCCACCGCTGCCGCCACGTCCCACTTACCCAGAGCCCCGGTGCCCCTTGTCATAATCCAAGGTGCTAGCTTGGTGACGAAGGGGTTAACTGTACCTAGCCAGGTAGCAGTCAGCCAATAGAAATGCAGATAGGGATTTCGAACGGAGACAAAGGAATTTCGGGGTTTTCCCTCCATTGTCTCTGAGCAGTTTGCTCTCTAGGTATTGAGGGGGACAGAGGACATGTCTCTTTCCAAGAAAAGACTCTTCACCATCTGTAAGTAGGACAAAGTCTAGATAAATCCATTAGGTTTTATTGCTTTATGGTTTGGGAATTTGGATCTGATGTCTGTGCTGTTAGAAATGGTTTTCTCCCCCCCCTTCTGTAACTAAGTCCTGAGCCCATGGGAATCCCCCATGAGTTCATTATTTTGTGACTCTTACCATTCAGTCGCCTTAATTCTGCTTGCAACAGGAGTATTGTTTTGGTAATAAAAGTTCTTTCTTTTTTATTAACCGGGTATTGGTTCAGTTCTGTGTCCTGGAAAATGTCTGTGGGATCTGCAGGCCTCTGACAAGGGGGCAGCTACCGCACAGACAGCAATTGGTATTTTCTCTTTTCTTTTTCAAGCTCTTGGGTTCAAGTGTCCACCCGTTTGGGGGTTCAAAAGCACTTGACGGTGGCAGTGGATTTTATCCCCCAAATCTAGGTTTTTAGGGTGGAGGGGAAGTTTTATACCAAAGCCTGGAAAGATCAGGTTCTGGGGTTACTTCTGCGGGCCCCCACTGATTCCTCTGCATTCGCTGTGTCAGCCTCGACCCCCCTGCTCACCGTTGCATTGTAGTCGAAGCAGATGTGAGGGCCTTTCCGGTACCGGGGCTTGCAGTGGATTTTATCCCCCAAATCTAGGTTTTTAGGGTGGAGGGGAAGTTTTATACCAAAGCCTGGAAAGATCAGGTTCTGGGGTTACTTCTGCGGGCCCCCACTGATTCCTCTGCATTCGCTGTGTCAGCCTCGACCCCCCTGCTCACCGTTGCATTGTAGTCGAAGCAGATGTGAGGGCCTTTCCGGTACCGGGGCTTGTCCACCAGCTCGCACTGATTCGGATCTCTCGGCGGAGCTTTGCGTGTCAAGGAAAAGCAGCAGCGCATACCTGGGGGGGGAGGGCAGGGGGGCGAGAAGTGG